CCGTCGAGGCTGAAGATCCCCAGGGGGGGAGAGCGAGGGCTCCGGATCATCGGCATCCATAGTGCCGTCATCATCATCATCAGCATCCTCATCTCCCTCCTCGCCCGAGTAGTTCGCATCCTCCTCGTCCGAGTCTAGATCAATCACCTCCTCGGGGGGCATAGAAAGCCCATCCACCCACGTGCGGATGTCATCCGTGGCCAGGAGGCGTGCGCTGTGGAGCACGTCCCGATTGAGGGGTGCGGAGCCGCCCCTCACAGTCGCATTATGGAGCCCCTGAAAGCTGATGTCGAAATGCCTCGCCAACCGTGTAATCAGGGGACCACAGAAGAGGTGGGTGGGATTCCCGCGGCACCGGGAGAAGGTGAGGGCCACGAAGGATCCCAGGTGGAGCATGTGCTCCGGTTCCCCCATCGAGTACATGGCATACAACACCCGCTTAGGGAGCTTATGCGAACCGGTGGCGTTGGGGACGATGGATCGGGTGATCAGCAAGTTCAGGATGTGCCACTACGGCTTGAGGGTGCTGACGTAGGTCTGGCCAGCATCGAAGTAGTCGTAGCCATGGGCGCGCCTGGCTTAACTGCGATAGAATGCATCCTGGTTCCAGTCGGTCGGGTGGGCAACCTCGATCTCATGGGCATCAAACGGGTGGTAATCGATCCCCAGAGCATGGGCCAACCCGTCGATGGTCAGCTCCCTGTGGTGGCCACCCATCCGGAATGTCACTGCATATTCGTCCCGGGCCATCGTGCGGTCATAGTGAAAGGTGGTGTAGAACTCCCACACCAGCTCCGAGGTAGGCTCGTCCGCCAAAAACTTGACTCACTCCTACTGTCACTCTAGAAAATGGCCAAGTGTAACCACTTCCCAAAGCGTAGTATAGCGGGTTTGGGTTTTATTGTCAACCCGGGTCCTAGATGTGATGACTACTCGGTGAAGTCTTGTTATTTAGCAGTGAACTTTTAGTGCAACTCAAGCAAACAAAAACACAAAGCAAGTAAACGGTTGTTGTCAAGTCAAGAGAGGTCACCCGGATATGGTTCCCCCTAGACTGCAGTTAAGTCGGATTGCAATTTACCAAGTTCAGTTTTCATGAAAGTTATACTGCGGAAGGTTCTTAATAAGCCTGAAGTCTCGACTAAAGGTCTCCAGACCCTCTCAATCTGAGTCTCTAGCGGGCGACTAACCTCCACCGGAGTAAACAGATTGAGGCCCTAACGAACCAAACCTCCACTACCGAATTGAATTCGGTACAGAATAGCGAATTGGCTCCTCGACTAAAGTCACCAATTCGCCACCTTCGATTTAGGGTACTCTATCAACCTAGGCAGATATTCTCATTCTAGGTCAAAGCAGAAACAATAGGAATTTGATCAGGATTCAAGTCATTCAATCATTCAAACCTCAATCGAATATAATCAATTCACAAACTCTGTACTTGGGTTCATACAATCAGACCTAGCATACAAATCTAGGGTTCCCCATACCCAGATGAATGGGGGAACTACTCCATAGAGAAAGAAGCAAAAGCAGATTCAGACGCGGAAATCATACTGTGAAGACGGCTTTCTGCTCCTGGACGTTTAATCGCACTTCTCCAAGCTCAAGCCGGGCTCCAATGGTGATGAAGATCGATCTATGGCGCTTGGGAACTCTGGTTCGTCGCTTTCTCTCTCTAGGTATCACTTTCTCTCTCAAAAACTCGGAACCCTTTGAAAATTGGCCTTCTTTTCCTTTTATCAGCTGCCATCGCGATACCCGGTCGGGTATTTAGGGGTTCGACCGGGTATTATCCAAAACGCGCCGTTTCAACTAAGGGGAAAATTCCCGGTCTGTCCTCATAATCGCCGACCGGGGATTTTAGGCATTTGCCCGGGCCCCCTTCTGCTTCTCACGGGCGACCGAAGTGAAAAATACCCGGGCAAAGCCAGACAATACCCGGTCGGGTATTCCTGCTTTTGGGCGGGTATTTTGTTCCAACAGCCTCCTTCGTCCCAACTTCGCTCCTTTCGACCCGGAACTCGTTCCTCCGCCTCGATTCCAACGCCGGGACCTGAAATGTGACATAAACACATACCCTAGCGTGAAATCGGCTTAAAACACGAGATTCCTCACCACAAACGGCTTCAGAATAGGGGTGAAAACATGTATAATTATCGGTCTATCAAGTGGGCATGTGGATGGGTAATCCGCGGATTGATATCGATTCACCCGCAAATAACCCGACCCGCAAGCTGTGAGTGATTTATGTGGGTGGATTGCGGATTGATAAATCTCCCACCCGCATTTATGTGGATGGGTGATGGGTGGATTGCGGGTTACCCGAATGACCTGCTTCCTATTTTCACATGAAAAAATATTGTTTCTTATAGTATCGAATATTCATCATATTTCCAAATCGCACTACGGTCTGACCATATACTTCTTAATGTGGAGAATAAATAATACTTTTGACTACTGTTATTGGTTATTGTGTTGTGTAATATCCATTAATTGGATATTGTAATGCAAATTATTGTTAATATCCATTATATATTGGGATGAAAACTATAAATTATTAATTATATCAAAATCACAACATGCGTAAGTTTTCTCTACACAATTGGGGGATAGAGAAATAAAATTTTTGATGCAAATACTACATGGATTTACTAGAGAGAAAGTGATAAGTGTCTAAATTGATACAATCTTACTACTTTGCTATGAACTTATTATAAATGTTAGTCAACTTTCTTAATAGCTAGAATAAATAAAACTTTTTAAATTAATTATATCAAAATCACAACATGCGTAAGTTTTCTCTAACAATTGGGGAATATAGAAATAAATTTTTTGATGCAAATACTACATGGATTCACCAGAGAGAAAGTGATAAGTGTCTAAATTGATACAATCTTACTACTTTGCTATGAACTTATTATAAATGTTAATCAACTTTCTTAATAGCTAGTTGGGGAATTATTTTTTGCGGGTTAACCCACGACTCAACCGCATCCATCCGCCATCCATCCAACCCGACCCACATAAGAATGTGAGTTGATTGCGGTTCACAATTATTCCAACCCACTAATAAGTAGATGAGTCAATTTAAGACGAAAACCCACCCAACCCGCCCATTGCCCACCCTATCATCAACAGCTATCTGCTAAACCGAACAAGATTGCAATTACTGCGACTCTCCCGTATGTTTGCCTCATCTCCTCTTCTGCCATGGCCCATGGATAATACGGCAAGTCCTCCTCTACTCTTATTTAATTTTATTTAATGAGATCCCCTTCCATTCATCCATCCCTTGGCTTGCAGCTTAAGCTGTTCGCCACATCCTCGTTATAAAGAAATAAAGTCCACATCAATAAAAGGCAATGATCAATCTACTTTGTATCATAGAAAAGGTAGTTTGTAATGATATAAATAAATAAATATTTTTTTTATGAGGATGACAATAATAAATTACGCAATGTTATTGAGCTCTATTTTTTTTACATGTTATTAAGCTCTCAATTGTATATTTGTGTTGATAGAATAGGGTGAAAGTGCATGCCATTTCATTGGTATGATGGTTTTAGAAAATATCAATACTTATTTCACAACATATATTAGTGAACCGGTAATGATGACCACTTATTAGGTCGATTCTATGTTTCAGTGGAAAACCTCCAGCGTAAGATACTAGGGGCTTACTCAATGAACCTAAAAAGATGTACGATCACTCGCACGGACCTATGGGGTGCCCTACAGGGACTTCAGATGGCATGAGACAGTGGACACAAGAAAGTCAAACTTCAGATCGAATCGACTACAGCTACTCACCTGCTCTCCCCTGAGAGCTCAACCAGCCACCAACATGCTAGCCTTGTGCTGGCTGTTCGGGAGCTCCTGAGCATGGATTGGGAAGTGCAAATCATACATATCTACAGAGAGACCAATTTTCTAGCTGATTGTTTAGCACACAAGGGTCACTTTTTAGATCCTGACACTTTATGTACTAGTTTTAGTGATTCATACACTAATCACTAGCTACTGTATGACTCGGTTGACGGATTCGTTATCGGTTCGCTTTAATAATATGAGATAGTGGTGCTTGTACCTGTTGGTTTCGAAATCGTAGAGCGGTGAACTGACTAGTACATTGACTAGCACATTGACAATCCAATTCCAAGATGAGAGGGTTTCCTAACTTTTTTCTTTCTGAGTGATATCAATAGAGGACAAGAGTTATTCATACAAATCTACCCAGGACCCCTTACAATATATTCTAATGAAGTCACCCCAAAATATCGAAAGATTCTAGCTCTAAATGAGACAAAAGCAGTGCTTTACGCGCCATTTTATAGGCAACACTATTAACAGTTCTAGGTACTGCACTGAGAGGGTTCCGGGCCCTCACTACTGCTTAGCTTCTCGGATTCCATCACCATGAGTCCATGACCTGATCCTACCATAGGATTCCTTATTCTCTCTCTCTCACACAGATTCTATTAGATAGAAGCTGTAATATGCCTTTTAATTCAATCCCCAGTCCCCAGTTTTTCTTGGGCGAAATAATATAATCCTGATTGTAAATATATTGCGAAAACAAACAAGCTTAACATTTTGAGTAAATTCAGTGTCAGTCAGTTCCCCTAAAATTGATATTTCCCCTGCAAACAAGACTGTCTGTCTCTGCTATAAAAAAACAAATACAAAAATTGAAAAAAGAAGAATTCAGAGAACCCACAACTGCTAGAAACGGGAAAATCGGGGAGTTTTAAATAAAAAATAGTCAACCAGCCAATCAAATAAAACCGTAGTAATATTATGTAAAAATAATAAAACAAAAAGAGGTCAAATTTCCAGGCTGCCCCACATCCTTCTTTTCTCTTTCGCCCACTGCCCCACTCCACGCCTTTCTTTCTTCCCATTCTCCCGTTCCAGTACAGATCCCCCAATTTCCCCACTCACTCATGAAACTCGCCGCCTCCGCCTCCGCCTAGCTCCCCACCCGAGAGAGAAAAATCATGTCATCTCGCTCGATCCCCTCGCCGGAGCAAACCCTCCATCTCGACAGTAAGGAAACCACTTCCTCCGTCCTCCCTCCCTCGCCATCTCCCCTCTCCCACCACCACCACCACCATCACCGACTCTCTCCCCGCCAACTCCTCCCCCCGCTCGGCGCCGCCACCGTGGCGTTCTCCTTCCTCCTCATCTTCGCCGCCTGCTACCGCAAGCTCACCCAGAAGCGAACCGTGCCCACCGACTCCAAGCCCCCTCACCGCTTCCCCCACTCCACGCTCCGCCGCGCCACCAACAACTTCTCCCCCGCGCTCCGCCTCGGCCAGGGCGGTTTCGGGTCAGTATTCCGGGCCGCCCTGCCCGATGGGCACCTCGTCGCGGTGAAAGTGATGGACTCCGGGTCGCTTCAGGGGGAGAGGGAGTTTCAGAACGAGCTCTTCTTCGCCTCCAAGCTCGACTCGCCTTACGCTGTGACCGCCCTAGGGTTCTCCGCCGACAGGAAGCGGAAGACGATGCTGCTGATCTACGAGCTGATGCCCAACGGGAATTTGCAGGACGCGCTGCTCCACCGGAAGTGCCCCGAGCTGTTTGAGTGGAAGAAGAGGTTCAGCGTCGCCGTGGATGTCGCTAGGGGGTTGGAGTATCTTCACTCGTTGGATCCGCCGGTGATTCACGGAGACGTGAAGCCTAGCAATGTTCTGCTGGACCAGTTCTTCTCGGCGAAGATTGCGGATTTCGGTTTGGCTTGGACGAAGACGGAGGAAGGGAATCAGGGAAATTCGGCTGAGAATCAGGTCGTCCCAGAAAAGAGGAACGGCGAATTGGAGATGAAGAAGGTCGAATTGGAGAGCAGTAACGGCGCGGTGGTGGCAGCGACGGAAGATTGTGGATCTGTGATGGAAACCGAGAGCGTGACTACCGCAGGGTTTGAGGAATTTAGTTTGGGGATCGACCAGTCGCCGGAGAGCGTTTTCAGGGGTCCGGTCTCCCTGACGTCGCCGGAGACAGCGGAGGCCGTCAGCCCAGCGACGGTCGGGGTACCCATCTCGCCGCCAGAGGTAATTGTGAATATTGATAAAGTTAGTGTAGCTAGCGGGAAAGAAGGGGACTGTAAAAAGAGTGGGAAAGCAGCAAAGAGTGGTAAAGATTGGTGGTGGAAACAGGACAATGGCCCGGCCGCGGTCGCGGCAGCGAACGTGCCGGTGAAAGACTATGTAATGCAGTGGATTGGAACAGAGATCAAAAGGGAAAGACCCAGCAGCGAATGGATTTCAGCTCCATCCACCAGCAAGCAACCGATTACCAAAATCAGCAAGAAGAAGGAACGCAGGCGATTAGATTGGTGGGTATCACTCGACGAGGAGAAGGAAAAGAAGATTCTTAAAAAGGAAAGGAAAAGGGCGCCAAGGGAATGGTGGAAAGAAGAGTACTGCGAAGAGCTGGAGAAGAAGAAGAAGAAGCAGAAGAAGAAGGAACGAGAAATGGGCATTGTACAGGGCAACTCCGCTGAAGATTGGTGGCCAGCAGGGGACGAAGAATCATACGCCGGAGGAAAGAGGAGGAAGAAGAACAACAGAAGCAGAGGCAGCCATGATTGGTTCAGCGGCGAGCTCTTCAGAGGCCGATTTAACAGCCACGACTCGCTCAGCGGAGACATAGCAATCCCCAAGAGCGGCGGAGTCAGCAGCACGCCAAGCATGCGAGGAACAGTCTGTTACGTGGCGCCAGAGTATGGCGGAGGCGGTGATCTGTCCGAGAAATCCGATGTCTACAGCTTTGGAGTTCTACTCTTGGTTGTGATGGCAGGAAGGCGGCCGCTTCAGGTGACGAATTCGCCAATGTCGGAGTTCCAGCGAGCTAACCTGATACATTGGGCTCGAAACCTGGCTAGATCCGGGAAGCTGATCGATCTGGTGGATGGATCGATACGAGGTTTGGATCGCGAGCAAGCCACATTATGCGTCACGGTGGCTCTGCTCTGCTTGCAGAAGTCTCCGGCTGCTCGGCCTTCGATGAAGGAGGTTGTTGGGATGTTGAGCGGTGTTGTTGAGGTTCCTGCCTTGCCTATCGAGTTCTCGCCGTCGCCTCCTTCAAGGTTTCCATTCAAGTCCAAACAGAGGAAGAAGGGGAGCTTAAACAGTGATAAGCCATTGTAGATTATTGTTTTTGTTGGTTTTCTTCTTCCCACTCTTTGATTTCAGTGTATAGAAAAAGAAAGATCCTTTTTGACTTTACAATGAACCATTGAGCGTTATGATGAATGAAACAGAGGGAAAGGGGAAATGGAACTGCGGAATGATGGTGCCTGTGGGGAAAGGGAGAGAAGTGGTCGTGAAGAGAAATGATTGATGAAAAGCTTGCGGTAGTGACGCACAGAATGTTGAGCAAATGATGGGGGTTTCTCTTTTGGGACATGGGAGGCTCCATTGATTATCATTGTTGGATTTTAGAAGATTCGGTTAGGATGGAGAGAGCTTCCTTTTCTCTTCTGCAGGGTGATCCTTTTGGATTAATGGTTAGGGCGCCAAACTTAGCACTCTTGCGCCAAATTGCCACACTTTGATCTTTGGATTAAGCTCGGGCTTTAGTTGGAGTGGGCACGCCTGTGATCTGTTGTCTCCATCCATTTGCCTGGCAGCCGAACTGTCAACTTCTCGAACTTGGGTTCTTACTTCTGGCTCACCGTCCTCGGCGTTGATGGGTACATGAGACGGCGATTGAGGCTTGGCATGATCATCCGACGAACTGCTGGGAAAATGACTGTCCAAATTCGTCCCCTTCCTACCTAAGCTACGAAGTGGGTAAAGATGAAAAGTTGATTTTGTCCTGTTATTTGTTTCAGAAGCCAGTTCAGTGAAATGTCTTCTTCCGTTGACGATAATCGGGTTTGCACTGAATACAACTGCGAGAAAACCAATTTACACGTTTTTTATTATCATTTTATATTAAAATTTTAAATTTTTTCCCTTTTATGGAATGAGAACACTATTCCTGACTGTGAAAGATAATCGTGGATCCCGGCACGGATTAACAAGGAGCGTGGAAGATGATGACGATGGAGCTCCAGTTGATCACGAGATGAAGGCAACACACCGTTTTGTTTTATTTTACTAGTGTTGTAGGAGTTTTTACTGTACAGACTTTACACGTGTATAGAGCCTATTGGTAGATATCTTAGTGTAAAAAGCAACGGCTAGGTAGATCCTCTTTTTCATTGTTTTTGCTCTGTAAAATGTATATATTCTCTGCTCAATGGAAAGCTCAGTATGAGCAATTTCCCCAAATCTTCTCTCTTCTGGAAATCTTCTTATGGTATCAGAGCACTGCTCATCGCGGTAAGATCCGTTTTTCATCCTCTTTCGTTTTTCTTTTCATTTCTCGCTTCATCTTTGAGCTCTGGTTGCATCAACAATGGCGGATGGAACCAGCTCACCCACTTCAGAACAGAAATCGGAATCCTCTGACAAATCCAAGGCGATAAGGACCTCATATGAGGATCCTTATCTCAACCCTTACTATCTCCCACCTCAGGATGTTGCTCTACACACCATCATCTCCATCAAGCTCATCGATGGCAACTATCACACCTGGAGTGAAGTTATGTTGCTGGCTCTGGAGACAAAAAAAAACCCAATTCATTGACGATCATATCCCAGTTCCTCAGGTAACAGATCCTCACTATCAATCCTGAGCTCGTTGCAATGGCACTATTCGTTGCTGGATTTACAACTCTTTGTCAAATGATATAGCGAATAGTGTCAAGAGGCTAGGGTTAGCAACGGATGTATGGGATAACTTGAAAACCCGATTTAGTCAAGAAGACAACATCAGAGTTTATGATCTCAAGGGTCAATTGGCGAAATGTGTTCAGGGTGATCAGTCCGTGAGTCAATACTTCACTGATATTACAGTGCTATGGGAAGAGTAGAGACATGAGGGTGGCCTAATACTGGACCATATGAAACACTGAAGAGATATGAGGAGAATGACTTCGTCATCAAGTTCCTTCAAGGACTAAACCCTGTATACCAGTCAGCAAGGACACAGGTCTTGATGATGCCCATTCTGCCTCATATTGATATTGTTTTCAAGCAGATCTTACAGCTTGAATGCCAGTTGAAGATCATGAACAGAAGTTCAAGTGTTGAAACTCTTGCCCTTGCAGCTGGTGCTTCTAGTGGCAATCAGTATAGGGGTAAAGGACAACATGAACAAGAGGGGAAGAAGGTTTGTTCCTACTGCAAGAAAGAGGGACATCTGATCAAGGATTGCTTCAAGTTAAAGAACAAGAAGGCAAGGGAGGCTTCAGAAGGTGCTTTTGCTGGTTCTGTAGAAAGTTCTCTTGGAATGGAGAACTCTTCTAGTTCTAATGACAGCAAAGGAAAGACTGGGTTGGAGAACATTTTCACACAGGATCAGATGGAAAGGCTCAAGCTACTGGTATTTAAGTCACCCTCTCCATCACAATCACCTCCAAGTACTCCATCTGTGCACACTGCAAATGCAGTTACCAGAGTTGTGTCTTCACATCGACCACCTACCTCTCCCTATTTGCCTTCGAGTTCAGGTAATACTGTGTTTTCATCCTTGATAGCTTCTTTTGGAGAACCCTTATGGGTATTAGGTACTAGTGCTACAGATCATATCATCTGTAGTTCCAAGTAGTATAGCAAATACAGAACAGTAGATGAAGTTTTTGTTACTTTACCAACTGGTGAAAAGGTAAAGGTCACACACATAGGCATTGTTCAACTTCCTAGTGGCTTGTTTCTTTCGCAAGTCCTTTTTGTTCCAATGTTTAGCTATAACTTAGTCTCTGTTAGTAAGTTAACCAAACAAAACCCTGTCTCACTTACCTGTCAATCCTCTTACTGTGTCATTCAGGACCTTATCACACAGAAGATGATTGGTTTAGCCCAAGTGGATAGAGGACTCTACCTTTTCACCAAGACACCAAGTTCCAACTCCCCTGTTCAGTGTCTTACAACCACCACTCACAATTTCCAGTCACAGCCTTTTGATCTCTAGCATGCCAGATTAGGCCACCCTCATGTCTTTAGACTTCAAGCTATTAGTAAACAATTCCCTGATGTAATAGCTTCTAAACATATTCACTGTGATGTGTGTCACTTAGCCAAATAGAAAAAGCTTTCATTTCCTTCCAGTACATCTATCAATCCTGTTCTTTTTGGTTTGATTCATGTTGACATTTGTGGCCATTGTATACAGTTTCTGTAACATCCCGAACATCGGATAATTGTTTTTTTTCCAAGTAGCGGACATATATTGCACGTTTTGAGACAGGAAAAAAATCGAGAAGTTATCCTATACGAGGTAGGATCAACGAAACCACTTAAAAACTCCCCAAACATCAAAAAGTGCAACAAAAATATATTGTTGGCTATAGGAATCGAACCTTTAACCTGTTGGTTAGTAAGGAAGGGTTTAGCAACCTAACCAATTAGACTATACTAGTTTCATTGATACAAAAGGAGCTGAGTCATTAATGAGCTAATGACGTCGAAATTGCACCAGCAGCTAGCTTGTTTATGGAGCCGGCTTTGGAACTTGAGTTTCTTCCTTTCAAAGCTACTGCTCCTAAGAAGCCCGCCCCAGGCCTTTACTCCATCTGCTGGAAAGTAAATGAAGAGGTAAGAGCTCTATTATACCGGTAAGCTAGCTCTCCATTTTTGCCTTCGTACAAACACCAAGAAGATAAAAGAAAAGAAATAATATGAAACCAAAGCCTAGCATAGTCTCTGTATTCCCAGCAAAGGTTTAGAACCTATACAAACCTGTTTACAAGCCAAAATCGCCAAACCAACTCACCAAATATCCTTTACCGAAACATTTGTCGTAACCTTTTCGTCAGCCAAACCAGTGCTACTACAGGCAGCATCAGCTTCGAAGCTTGATACGGTTACTAAGAACAAGTCACCACGAGCATCACAGAGTTTACTGAATTGAATTCCGAGCTCAGACGAGGGAGAAACAAGGCCGGAAAGTTGGTTCGTGAGGTAAGGGAATTTCCAGTTTTCTGCAGATTTTGGACAGCAGAAAATTAAGAATTAATCCCTAATTTCGTACTAACGATGATCAGCTCGCAGTTTCTTCGTTTGACGTCCAAACGACGAACCGTTTTCGCCTACAGGACCGTAGAAACAAGGAGAATTTTTAGGAGCCAATCTATGGAATTTTAGAACTTAATTCCCGACTTGGAATCAGCTAAATTAAGGTGTGTGGGGATTAAGAGGACCTTAATTATTGCATTGATTAATTATGTTTGATTTATATATTTGGATGGATGGATTACTGTGGGTGATAACTTATTTGTTGATATGATGATTTGGTGATTATTCTTGATTGTTATGGATTTTACGGTGTAAATATCGTTATTTGACAAGTTTCACCATAAAAATGAATAGTTGGGTTTATTGAGTATAAAACTGATCTAAGAGATTTTTGTTTGTCTATAATGATGTTGGGGCAGATTGAGCAGAAGGTTTCACTTGAAAATGGTTTGCGGATTAAAAACTGCATAACGGTGAATTTTACGAAAAGCTCGGTAAAAACGTGTTTTATTTATCTTTAAGATTTGGATCACTTTAAAATGGTCAGTATGTATTATTAAATGGGTTGTGGTCTGGAAAGGGTAAATTAGACCGTTGGTGGAGTTTTTATCTTTAAAACGGTAAAAATGAGCTTAATACGAGATTTGCGATAAATACCGCGTGTAATATTATTTTCATGGTTTGGAGCTGTTGAAAAATATAAAAACTGGACAGACCTATTTTAGGATAATAAATGGAGGTTCTTGTATTTTTGGGAGATTTTTGGGTTTACCTTTTTGTTGGAATTTAAGTTACCGTAAAATAATGGTTAATACGAGATTTTTGATATTTTATTGTCTAAATTGATTGTTATGACCAGAACTAGATTAAATAAATTTTTGTGTCAATAAATTCAGTTACATGAATTTTGTGAGGATTTTAATGAAGGAAAGTGAATTTTGAGTTAAGGATATTTTTAACCGCAACCGGGTTACTTATAATTATTTGCGTTGGCGCTATTTCGTGAAATTGTTGATGAATTTTGGATGAGGAATGGTGACATGGTACTGCTGAGTAGCTTTACTGGAGAATGAAATGATTTATGT